GTCATGTGGAACAGTAATTATAGTCACAACCCATGGGTACCACCAAAAGAACATGGCAGGCAGGCTATGCTATGGATATCCAGTTCCTGTAAGAGTTTGTCACAAAAAGTGTTCATGTATTGATTTTAGGCCAAATCTTTAACATGCACTGCATCTACCTCACACCTTAATCCCCTTGGCAGATTTACCAATTTTATTTCAAGCTTTAACATGAGCACTAGGTGCCTGGTGGCTTAGTTTGCGACACACACATTCACGTTTATGATAGAGCAAGCTAAATTACACTAGATATTTACAGATAGATTTAACAACCCTTTTATGACAGCGTAAACATGCATGTGTCATTGTGATGGGTGGAATCTAATGACCAACTGCCGCATATATATTTTGCTGGGTTGTTTTTGGAGCTCCATCAGTGCCCAGCTTATTGGGAACACCCAATGATAGAGGGCCAGTAGGACAGACTGCTGATTACATCATGACTGCAGTCATTCACAGTGAACAGATGAATGGGAGGCCCTCCTAATGGCCTGTGGTGTCATGGCCCACTTAAAGGGCTGGCTCCCATCGAGGACAAGAGGTTAAAGTAGAACTGTTCTTATTTTGGGCCTCTTGTCACTCTGTTTCCTCCACTGCCATCTTCTCCCAATTTCTTTATTGTTTTAACAAATGACACAGCTCTTGCACATGCATGAACATGGCTTAATTTTTCCCAGGACCCAATTCTTAATTGCTGCATCTTATGAGCATAAGGACTGTACACTGAACTGCCTATGTATGTCAGTCAGTGGATAGTTAAAAAAACTGTTAGCGTGAAGACTTTTTATCATAGTAGTCATATAAAACAATCTGTTAGCATTTCTTTTGCAAATTTAGATTTATTTCTGCTTTAAGTATTCTCTCCTTCTGTACCCTGAAGTACCTTCTTACACTTTTCCAACTGTCTATCAGCTAATCATACTCTAATTTACCGAGTTATTCATTCTTTCTCTCGAAGTGTGAAAGAGTAATTGGGATTTCCCTGATTGATTCACCAAAAATAATGAAGCTAACTTACGTTTTCTCAAGCACAAAACTGTAAGAACTAAATCTGAGCGTTAAAGTAAATGCAATTTTTCTTTTCGCTTGTGCCAGTCCTTGTCCCTAATCAGTATGACTTACCTTTTCCATTATTGCTCTGCAGTCAGCCTTCCTAATATATCAGAAATGACATATCAGTTCTGAATACAAGCACTGTATTTTTTTGCACTTATTGAACAAATATAACACCACAATTTCAATTATAGTATTTTTAGCAGACCAATTGTTAGGTTTTGTACTTTATTAAGTTTTCAGATTCTTCCCTCAATCTAGTTGTGACTGGTTCTGGTATAATTGGAGAATACCATGGATGACTGGAAGTAGCCAGGGAAAGAGAGACCCTCCAGTTCTTTGTCAGAATTGGCTGTATACACATGACCAAATCAGAAGGGAAGACAGTTGATGGCTGATTAAGTGATGAACCAAGACAACATTAGAGAGGCCATGCAATGACCATGTATAAGGCTGGAGATGATCAGCATCTAGCTGAATTAATTAGCGCTTCAGAATATTAAGATTTGCCTTTATAATGCTCAAGAGAATTTATAGAATAATTACATACAATTAAGAAGGCTATAGAGCATCTGTGCTATTAGCAATGGAAAAGGGAGAGGAAGTCATCCCTTACACACTATGGGCATGTGAACAGCAGGAAGTAAACTGCACCATCTTCTTTTACTTGCCTTTATTTGCCCTTATGTCTATATGGCTATTAGAATTATCATTTTTATCCTTTGCACTTCCTTTCCTGTTCTTAAACTACAGAATGTTGCAGTTTTGATCCAGAAGATCCTGTTTTCTACACTGAGGTTAATAGGTAGCACTTGAAAAATGCAATGTCTAATTTCATTCAATCTACTTTTTATATTTTAACCTTTCTTTTCTAGTTTTGTTCAAAGATCTGTAAAAGAGAAGCTAGAAAATGAAGCATTGAAAGCAGAATGAAGACTAAATAAAAATGAGCATTGTTTACAGTCTAAGTTTATTTAAATATAGATAAATAAATAAACATTAAGCTCAAGGGACATTACTTACATTCAGTGTCATGTATCCCTGATGCTGCTGTGTCTTCATTTAACAGAAATCTTCCTCCTCTGAAACCCCCTTCCCACACACCCTCACCAGTGCCGCGGAGGTTAATAGAAATGAGGGAGCTGTCACAAGCACTCATCAAGAGTGCCCATAATGTCATTTCCACCCAACATCTCTATTCATAGAAGCCAAACTACAGTGTATATAAATGAAACACAATTTTGAATAGAGGGTGCAGACCTTTCAATCATCTGCCCATCCTATAGCACTTTTGAGCCTGGGTTCACACTTGGGACTGCTTGTGAATCGCATAGGAATCGCACTGCATTCTTGTGCAAATTACATGCAATTCTGTGTGGTTTTTGTTGAGCCTATTCATTTTTGATGGCTCAAATTGCACTGCATCCACATCAAAAATATTTTTCCACACTGGAATTATTATTATTATTTAGGATTTATATAGCGCCAACAGTTTGCGCAGCGCTTTACAAAATGAAGGTAGACATTACAGTTACAATACAATTTGGAACAAAAGGAACCGGAGGACCATGCTCCTTAGAGCTTACAATCTAGGAGGAAGGGTTGTGTCAGGGTCCTGTCCACGGCAGAAGTTCTGGAAGATCTGGCATTTCTGCCAGTACCCTGCATAGCCACAGAAGCACACATCAGCCTCAGTTTGGTGCCAGACGACCTTTAGTGTTGGATGCAGTGGTGTAAAGCACGCTGCCACTGGACTCTAGAGCAGTGGAATCGTGTTCTTTGGAGTGACTAATCACACTTTTGCTGTCTGGCAATCAGATGGACATGCCTGGGTTTGTCGGTTGCTAGGAGAATGGTAGTTGCCTGACTGCATTGTGCCAAGTGTAAAGTTTGGTGGAGGGGGGATTATGGTGTGGGGTTGTTTTTCAGGGGTTGGGCTTGGCCCCTTAGTTCCAGTGAAGGGATCTCTTAAGGCATCAATATACCAAGACATTTTGCACAATTTCATGCTTCCAACTTTGTGGGAACAGTTTGGGGATGGCCCCTTCCTGTTCCAACATGACTGCGCACCAGTGCACAAAGTAAGGTCCATAAAGACATGGATGAGCAAGTTTCGGGTGGGGAAACTTGACTGGCCTGCACAGAGTCTTGACCTCAACCCGATATAACACATTTAGGATGAATTAGAGCGGAGACTGAGAGCCAGGCCTTCTTGTCTAACATCAGTGCCTGACCTCACAAATGTGCTTCTGGAAGAATGGTCAAACATTCCCATAGATACACTCCTAAACCTTGTGGACAGCCTTCCCAGAAGAGATGAAGCTGTTATAGCTGCAAAGGGCGGGCCAACTCAGTATTTAACCCTACGGACTATGAGTGGGATGCCATTAAAGTTCATGTGTGTGTAAAGGCAGGCATCTCAATACTTTCGGCAATATGGTGTAAGTATACTATTTATCTCACCTGTGGTTATTAAACTGATCTGGTGTTGTTTTTTTTACATAGTTTAGGCTGCATGGGCAGCAAGGATTATAAATCATATAGCTTGTGGAAGAAGAAAACTGTAACAAAAGCATGTGCAAACAAGTCATGTATTCAGAACACCAACAACAGCCAAGTTCCATGGACGTGCTGTCCCTCTGCATTCAAAGTGCTGGTGTTATCCTTGGGCAAGTGCTGAGAGCCAGAGATGATCGCTATCAAATCAGCCATTACCTTGCTAGCTGTTGTTATGTGACTCTTAGGCTAGATCCCTAGGCACTCTGTGCCATGGTGCAGGTCCCAGAATGCATGGAGCAGACCACTAGTTAAGGAGCCTAGCATGACTCCTCTTTACTACCAGAGAGATTGTCACCCTTGCCATGTCACCTATCTCCTAGCTGGTTGGTTGCTTTAGCATGTGACACAAATGTGGTAGTCCTTAATAATGGCTATATGGCCACCTCTGGACAGTATTATGCCTGTTATACACTGTACTGTATATTCTCTAACCTTTAGTTTCCTGATGTAAGTCTTGTTCTTTGATACGCCATGCATGCACCCCTATGGAGAAACTTCAGACCAAGCAGTTTAAATGAACAATACAAGCTCTTTTACTGAAGTAGTTAAAGGCAACATACAGACAGTTCTCAAAGACATCTTCCACACACTTTACTGCTGAGGGCTCAGTTTACTAAAGAATATCGCATGAGATAATTGAACCACATGACGCATTTTTCCAATTATCTCACGTGATGCTAAAATTGTCAATTCATCTTATAAGGTATTTACCTCAAATAGAAAATATTTTGGTAAATACTTCATAAAACAGTGTCAACCTCCCTAGTGGTCTGATTATGTCCATATTTCTGTGCTCAAAGCGGTACATTTTTTTGCATGGAAATATGTACTTTTTTTATTGTAGGCCTGTAATTTTTAGGAATAACTCACCGAAATCTGTCAGAACAAGAGTCTAGTAAACATCCTGGGTATGTTAAGGTTTTAAACACAAAATCATAAATTATAATTTAATAAATAATCATAAAAAATAATAATATAATAATACATTTAATTCAATAATATAATCAAACCAAAAACACTGAAATTTGAAATATAGCGCCAAGTTTGCACATCACTGAGCTAAGTCGCAGAATGGTTTTCAGTGTCTGATGATGAATTTCCCCCACGAATCATTATCACTCAATTCTGTAAGTGGTTTTAATTTACTATCACTGTTCTCTAGCTGGTCTAAAACCGATTTTGACCTAAAGGGACGCTTTTTGGATTCCATGGACATTTCTCAGTTTCCAAGCAGAAAGAACGGTAAAAATGTAGGCAGGGCACAGGACAAAGCACTCTGGACAAAATGTATGTGAAATGGTTTGATATAGTAATGTTATACTATGTGATTTTAGTGTAGTTAGTGAATGTCACTTTTTGTCATTTTCAAATTTCCCGCCAGTTCCATCCCCGTACATCCCGACGCCCGCAGGGGACGGAACCCAGAAGACAGATGCTGGCATCCACCTGAGAACATTACAGGGAACACTGCAGGAGGGACATCGCGGGAGCACAGGACAAGGTAAGTGATCGAGGGATCCCGGAGCAGCGCCGCATGGTAAGCCCTAGTGTAGCTCGGAGTTACCGTATGAGGTACTGAAACTTTTCCCCGAGCTACGCTCGGGAATACCGCCAGGGAGGCTACAGTTAATTCACTAAAGGAAATAAATACATGTAAGAGTTAAATAAGTATCGGTCCAGGCATGAGGTATTTAAGGAATATAAAAATATAATAGCGAGGCGCATGCGCGGCGGTCCAAGATGGCAGACGCCTGAGAACGGAGCTCCGCCAATCGTCAGACTCAATGGCCCCCCTGCTCTGCTCCTATTGCTTCTATGGCTCCAGGAGAGCCCTTGCCAAGGTCAAGGCACACTCCAGCATCCCCATGGGAAAAATCGGGCATTGGTAGCTGCCCACGCCGCCTCCTCCAGACCCCCAACCTTCGATGCTGGACTGCTTCTTCATTGTGCCTGCATCCCTGGCCTTGAGTAATGGCGGCAGCTCTGGTGAGTGCTCAAGGAGATCCGCTGAGATGGAAGGGACGGACGCAGACCCCCTGCAGCTTCACACCCCTCGCCAGCAACCCCTTCTCTGACAGTGGACACCTTGGAAGACAAACTGAAAGTATTTTTACGTAACATTACTGCCACCATCTTTGCTGAAGTTGGGAAATTGGCTCAGGAGCTTAGGGGGGAGATTACTCAAATAGGAGACCGCACAGACCACCTTGTGACTAAATTTGACGTACAATATGTATACAATATAAGATAATGCCAGTCTGAAACACTCCATGTCTCAATTACAGCTTCAACAGGAAGATTTAGAAAACAGGGAGCGTTGTCAGAATATCTGTATTCGCAGAATATCCGAAACAGACTCAAAACTCCAACGCCACCTGCTGTCTCTATTCACCACTCTAGCTCCTAAGGTCCCAGAGATTGATTGGAGAATGGCCTAGAGATGTAATCGTACACTTTCACTACTTTTACAGTAAAGAAGCCCTGCACTCTTCCACTCACAATAAGCCCTCTTTGGAATTCAAGGGAGATAGGCTTCAAATTTTCAGTGACTTATCTCCCATCACCTTGGCTAAAAGACGGGTCCTGAAGCCGGTCACTATTCATCTCCAACAGCATCATGTTCCATACCGGTGAGTATTTCCCTTCAAGCTTGTTGTCTCCAAGGATAACACCCAAGTTACTCTCCATGACCTACATGAAGCGGACTCCTTCTTCAAGCAACTGGGGCTCCCTCCCCTGCCAGACGAGGCACCTCCTCTACCTCCCACCCCATCCGGGTCCTCCACCACTCTGCGCAAGATCTGGACATCCACTAAACCTGGAAGGAAGCAATTTCCTTGTACTCCTCAACATCCGCATCTTCCTGGCTTGATGAGCTTTGTCACCTGACGCTGTCATTTGACAGGTCTCCTGCCCTGTTAATTGTGCTCCTTTATTCCCATATGTTCCTTAACATTGTTCGCATTGCTATGTCTTAACTATAACCATTATGTATTTTCCTGAGGTAGGCATCTGCCAAAATGGGCCAACTGCCGTGTCGCCCCCAGGAACATCAGGCCTTAGGCCCTGAAGACTTGGGATATTCCCAATCTCCCGTGTGTATATCTTTGATGATATCTTTGTTTCTAGTTGTGATCTTTAAGGGTTTTTGTTTTGAGTGATCCATCTCCTCTTACAAACATCTTACATCTGACATCTCCTGCTTGGACTCATGCAGTTCACGTTATCTATATGGAGGCACTGTAGGGTTGGATTCGCCCTAGCCTCCATGTGTTCCCCCTTGACCAATGTCATATTCAATCCATGCCTCCCAGATAGCCTGTCCATGGCTCGTGTATGTCCCTGGACCGAGGCCAACCTATTCCAGCTGCGACACTTGGTCAATCCAGCGACTTGTAAGCTTAAATCCTTCCCTGATATTCAAAAATCCACCTGTATGCCACTCCACCAATATTTTTTTTATCTACAGATACGGCCTACCCCCTTTGAGCGTATCTGTATCTAAGGCCATACCAACGGGGCATAATTTCCTCCACGTATAAGCTGCTTTTAGACTCTTGCCCCCTTTCTATTGATACCCACCTTTATATGCATAAATGGCCCCGATTCCTGCAATGTGATATTGCCTTAGATCAATGGAGCAGGATTTGGGAGGCCGCTTCCAGATCTTCTATATGTGTAGTATTTAAAGAAAATACTTATAAAATCCTGATATTTTGGTATAAGACTCCTGAAGTTCTCCATGCTTGTAATCCAAATGTTTCTTCTGTCTGCTGGTGTTGTGGCAAGGGAACTGGCACTCTTTTCCACATTTTTTGGGCTTGCCAGTACATTGCACCTTTTTGGAGAGAGGTCCTTGCCCTACTATGGATACTTTTGCAGGCTCCTATCTCATTTGAGCCCATTCACTTTTTGTTGGGCCTATCTTTTTCAGGCCTCTCCAAATTTGCAAGGAAACTTTCCTCTCAAGTTTTAAAGGCAGCCAGGAGAACCATTCCCATGCATTGGCTTTCTTCTACACCTCCTACTCTATTGGAATTTATGAAGGTTATAACAGAGATTAGGAAAATGGAGTACCTAACTGCTTTACACACTAATTCTGTTCCTGCATTTGAAGCAGTTTGGGACTCATGGGATACTTGCCCTACTATGGATACTTTTGCAGGCTCCTATCTCATTTGAGCCCATTCACTTTTTGTTGGGCCTACCTTTTTCAGGCCTCTCCAAATTTGCAAGGAAACTTTCCTCTCAAGTTTTAAAGGCAGCCAGGAGAACCATTCCCATGCATTGGCTTTCTTCTACACCTCCTACTCTATTGGAATTTATGAAGGTTATAACAGAGATTAGGAAAATGGAGTACCTAACTGCTTTACACACTAATTCTGTTCCTGCATTTGAAGCAGTTTGGGACTCATGGGATACTTGCCCTACTATGGATACTTTGCAGGCTCCTATCTCATTTGAGCCCATTCACTTTTTGTTGGGCCTACCTTTTTCAGGCCTCTCCAAATTTGCAAAGAAACTTTCCTCTCAAGTTTTAAAGGCAGCCAGGAGAACCATTCCCATGCATTGGCTTTCTTCTCTACACCTCCTACTCTATTGGAATTTATGAAGGTTATAACAGAGATTAGGAAAATGGAGTACCTAACTGCTTTACACACTAATTCTGTTCCTGCATTTGAAGCAGTTTGGGACTCATGGGATACTTATACTTCTGTCTCCTCAAATTGTCTGAAATTGATTGTGTTTCAGTGTTCTGTATTGACATTGTATGTACCTATGTACCTCTCATCGGTAACTTGTTTTTCTGTTTTTTGTTTTTTTTTCTCGTCTACTGCTTTGTGTTTTCCTATGCAACCTGTTTGTTGTAATTGTTTGAAAATTATAAAAAAAAGTCAATTACAAAAAAAAAAATAAATATATATATATATATACACAGTAATGCATAGAAACCTAAATATGGAAAAACACAGAAATACTGGGGCTGATTTACTTAAAGAATAATTAAAGGCAAATCTTTTTTTTTTTAGTTTTGCATAGAGTGGAAAGGAATTAGAATCCCTGTCAGGTTTTTATTGCTGTCATTGACTGTCATCATTGAACGTGAAGTAAAAAAAAAACAAATTGTGTGTTGCCTCCAGAAAAGTAATAGAGGGGAAATCTTCCAATGGGGACACTGGTTCTGGTGACCTGGGGGGGTCCCTAGGGGATTCTTTTAATTTGTAGGGATTTCCTCTCATTTCCTGTTTGGCTATGGGACAGAAAGTGAAGGGAAATCTCTCCAATGACAATGTTGTCTTTTTTAATGGTGGATGAAGGGTATTTATAGATGTGTGTGATTTTTTTATACTATTTTCTTTCAATATTTGACAATTATAAAGATATATTGTGTTTACCTAATTTAACTCTTAAGTTGTTTTTCATACACCATGTGTGTCCTGTGAAAGCAGCTTATTATCATCCCCTTTTTTTCTTTTGTATTAAATACATATGCTGCAGGGACTGCACTGACTTAAAAACTGACAGGAGTTGTAATCTTTCTCCACTGTATCCATTCTACTCAATACTACAACATGAGATAAAATACTGAATAGTTTCATGAGATAAATACCTCATATTTTGTTAAGATAACTCATGCTTTATTTTAGTAACTTTTTTTGTGAATTGCAAAAAACATTTTTAAAAAACGTTATGAGCTATGTTATCTCAGAATTTAACCACTTCAATACCGGGAACTTTTACCCCCGTCCTGCCCAGGCCATCTTTCAGCTTTCAGTGTTGTTGCACTTTGAATGATAATTGCGCAGTCATGCAAAACTGTACCCATAAAAAATTTGTAGCATTTTTTTCACACAAATAGAGTTTTCTTTTGGTGGCATTTAATCACCAGTGAGCTTTTTTATTTTTTGCTAAATAAACAAAAAAAAACATGAAACTTTTGAAAAAAACTAATTTTTCTTCGTTTTTGTTATAACATTTTGCAAATAAATAACATTTCTTCATAACTTTAGGTCAAAATGTATTCTGCTACATTTCTTTGGTGAAAATACCCCAAATTAGTGTTTATTATTTGGTCTGTAGGAAAGTTAGAGAGTCCACAAACCATGGTATATACCAGGGGTGGGCAAACTTTTTGACTTGAGGGCCGCAATGGGTTCATATATTGGACCCGGGGGCTGGACCAAGAGTAGATGAATGATGTGTATGTGTCATCCATAGTAAGTATAGTAATATTCCCCATAGTAAGCATAGTAATTAATCCCCCATATAGTAATTCATCCCCCATATAGTAATTCATCCCCCATAGTAATTCATCCCCCATAGTAATTAATCCCCCATATAGTAATTCATCCCCCATATAGTAATTCATCCCCCATGGTAATTCATCCCCCATATAGTAATTCATCCCCCATAGTAATTCATCCCCCATATAGTAATTCATCCCCCATAGTAATTCATCCCCCATATAGTAATTCATCCCCCATATAGTAATTCATCCCC